CAAGCCAGCATTACTTTGACCTAACCTCTAAAATAGCATGGTGACCCACAGGAATTAGTTCATCAATGTAGCTATAACCCTTGACAGATTGAGTAAGATAATTCATCACTGCTTTATCTTTCCCTAGAAATTAGGACCTTTCTCTTGTGAGGCCTCTCTTCAGGACTTGACATTCCTAGGAAGGCTGCTACAAAGGGGCATGCTAGGTGTCCAGATACTAGATGAGTTTTGTCTGTGTAGCCTTTGTTCTGATATCTCAAAAGGTCACAGCTGAGAGCACTCACCTAGAAAGTCAGTGCTTCCACTAAATCTCTCTTTACATGACTTCTCTTAGCTAGGTTAGCTACCCTGTCAGCTGAGACCATCTCCCTTTCTAACCCTGGGACCCCTTGCAAATGAACAACATTGTCATGCTAGAAGGATAGTGAAAACCAACAGAATCTGATACACACAAAATACAAGATGTAAGAGTAAAAGAAAGTAACCTATTCTGTTATTAGCAATTGTCACAACATTCCCTAAGTGGTTAATTGTATGCTAACCATTTCTCTGAGTAGCAAAGTGATTCAGGACAGACCAGAATTCTGGAGGGATAATTCAGGTCCTGACTGGGCCACAGATGGTGCACTGTAATAGAAAACTTGAAGAAGGAGATGTGCACATCCTTTCCCCTGGTGACTCTAGTAAAGGAAGGGCCAGTGGTACGTGTGCTCACTCAATTGTGTTTGTATCCCTGCAGTATAAAGAATACAACTTAACAGACAAAAAAAAAAAAGCCCTGGATGATTTACCTTTTCTAATACTGACATTCCACATTCCTGTGCTATGTGTGAAGGTGGAGTCCCTGGATAGTTCACACAGTGGTTGCACTCAGTTGCCATGTGAAAGGTAACATCCCGAAGGTAGGACGTTTAACAAGAACGTGTGAAGGAAAGAAGAAATGAGATGTCAGAAATGAAAAGAAAGAAAAAAGAGGCAGGCTTGGCCTCTTGGTCATTTAGCTTTCATGGACTTCATTTCCCTTCCTGAAAATGGGAGGTTTGCTTTAAAGTTCTTGGTTCTTATGAGATACAATTTATAAGGATGGTTGCCAGATATTTTATGAATGTTTTAAAAGCAATGATATTAGATATGGCGAGTCAATGATTTTAGGTGTGGTGAGTATTCTTTGAATACAACTAGAACTTTTGCTCAAAATGGACCTTCGTATGTTTTCATTCGTTCTGTTCTCTACAACAACCAGGAGCTCCTGAGTTAAAACACATGGTCTCAGGCTTTTTGATGTTGAGAGTTTTAAATGACAAAACTATCTCTTTTTATGGTTAACAGGCTTGTTGAGATTTTCTAGATCGCTTTGTACTAATTTAGGTACATAATGCATTTTTTATAAATTTATCCATTTCTTCTAGATTTTCAAATTTGTTGGAGTACAATTTTTTTTCATATTATATGATTTTTTAGTATCAGTTGGTTCTGTTGTAATAGCACCCATTTCATTTCTTTCTTTCTTTCTTTTTAATCATTATATTGGGGGCTCAGACAGCTCTTATCAGAATCCATCCCTTTTGTCAAGCACATTTGTACAAATGTAGCCATCATTATTTTCAAACATTTTCTTTCTACTTAAGTCCTTGGTATCAGCTCCTCATTTTGTTTTTCTCTCACTCCCACCATCCCTCCCTCATGAACCCTTGCTAATTTAGAAATTTTTTTTTCATGTCTTACACTGACCAATGTCTCCCTTCACCCACTTTTCTGTTGCCCATCCCTCTGAGAAGGGATTATATGTAGATCATTGTGATCAGTTCCCCTTTCTCCCCCCACCTTCCCCTTCCCCTCCTGATATTGCTACTCTCCTTATTGGTCCTGAGGGGCTTATCTGTCCTGGATTCCCTGTGTTTCCAGCCCTTATCTATACCAGTCTACATGCTCTGGTATTACCTGATTCGTAAGCTAGAATTGGGGTCATGATAGTGGGGTGTAGGAAGCACTAAAGAACTAGAGGAAAGTTGTATGCTTCATCAGTGCTATACTGCACCCTAACAGGATCATCTCTTCCTTGTGACCCTTCTGTAAGGGGATGGTCAATTTTCTACAGATGGGCTTTGGGTCTCTACTCCGCACTCCCCCTCTTTCACATTGATATGATTTTTTATTCTGGGTGTTTGATGCTCAATACCTGATCCCATCGATAACTTATGATCACACAGGCTGGTGTGCTTCTACTATGTGGGCTTTGTTGCTTCTCAGCTAGATGGCCACTTGTTTACCTTCAAGCCTTTAAGTCCCCAAATGCTATATCTTTTGATAGTCAGGTACCATCAGCTTTCTTCATCACATTTGCTTATGCACCCATTTTGTCTTCAGTGATCATGTTGGGAAGGTGAGCATCACAGAATGCTGGGTTAATAGAACAAAGTGTTCTTGCTTTGAGGGTGTACTTGACTCGAGGCCCAATTTCTGTCTGCTACATTAAGACTTAACATATAAATATATGTACATAGATCTATTTCCCTATCATTAAATATAAATATATTTACATATGTACATGCTTGTATTTAGACCTCTATAAATGCCCTTTCACTATTTTCTTTTACTTTCTTCTTGACCCACCATTATGTTTGGCCTTTGTTTGGGTTTCAGTAATTTCTCTTGGCTATATTGCCCTTGATCTAGTCCCACCAGGCATCATATTACCCTCCTCACCATCAATTTTAGATCACTTGTTGTTCCCTTGTCCATGGCTTATTTGACAACCCCTTTCCTTAATATTTGCTTTTTCTTCTTTTCCACTGTTAGGTTTCTCAAATTTTGTTCATCCTTTCAAAGAACCAACTTCTTGTCTTGTTGATTTTTTTCTTTTTCTGATTCATTTATTTCTGCTCTAATATTCATTGTTTCCCATCTTCTAATACCTGAGGGTTTGTTTTGGTTTTGAATTTTCAACAATAACATCAGCTGGAATAAACATTTTCAGATTTTAAAGTGTTTTTTGTTTTTTTTTTAAATCTTCATGGGCTATTCCTGTTCCCTCTCCAGGTAGAACTGATGTCCTTTTCTTGTGTCCTCATTATCCCTTTACTTTCCCCTAGGTACTCATCAAGTTCACCTGGACTAATTCTTAAAAAGGCAGATCCCCAACGCCACCTACAGATCAGAATATTTTCAGTGGAGCCCAGATAATCTACATCAATTCTCAAACACCAAGGTTGCTGACCCCCAAAGGACTATACCATTGTTCCCTAAGAACTTTGTGTTATTGAGTTACTTGCATGCCACTTTCTATCTTCTTAATTACAAGTTAAGTGAAGGCAATGAAGTATGCAGTATTTATATTTCATGTAACATTTATAGAATAGCTCCAACTCAACTGCTAAACCAAAGGCTGGAGTTTGGAGTGCACACAGAGAGACTTGAGAAGAAAATCTATATCTGAAAACTTCACCCACTGCCCTCAAACAGTTCTGACTCACAACAGGCCCATAGGCAAAACACTCTTTAGTGTAAAGCTCCTCATTTTCTCAAACTGTAATCTGCATAGGAATAAACAGTCCCCAAATCCCCCTAAGAACATTCCCTAGGTTTGAACCCACCAACCTTGTTCTGAGCAGCCAGTTCTTACCTCACTGCACCTCCAGAGCTCCTCAGACATTGAACATCCTCAGGAGTACCGTTCAACAGTGATGTACACGGGCTAACCATGAGTTGGAAACAAATTGATGGTAACTGTCTTAATACAATGCTTGCTACAGAAAATATTCAAAAGAAGGAATCTTTCATGACTTATAAAGGTCTTTTGAGGCTTACACTTAAACTAACAGTAATGACATAGATACATTAATTTAATGTAAACATTTTTCAGAAAGAGGCAGCTGTATTAACCACCAGCCCTAATCCCAGAACAAGGATACCTGGATTCAAATATTTCTCTAGTTGGCTATGTATTACAGCAAATTACATAATCTCTCTATGACTCACTTTCCTTATCAATAAATAAAGTAAAAACACTTATTTCATATTCCTCTGGTAAATTAATTCATACTAAAATGGAAACTCTAAGGATATCTAATAGGTTTGAACACCCAAAAGTATTAACCATCTAAGGCATTTCCTATTATAAAATGATCTTAGAATATTAGATATTAAATTTTAGTCATTATATGTGCTTATGGGAGCCCTGGTGGGGTAGTGGTAAGGCCACTCCACAGGAGAAAGACAGGCTTTCTCTTCCCATAAACAGTTACAATCTGAGAAACCCACAGAGCAATTTAAACTTTCTGGGTTCTTTTTGCTGTTCCTTTCCAAAATTTTCAGTAGTTCTTCTAACTGGTATATTTTCTAACTGTATTATGATATACTAACCATTTTTCCACCTGGCCTGGTAGGCAGTGATTAGGTACCATCACAGGTCTCTAAGCACATTGAAAATAACTCTACTCCAACTTGTGGGGACACCATGTGTTACAGAACTGAATTGGGTTCCACAGGATTTTCTTGCTTATGATGTAAACCTTTTGTGTTCCCTGGCCTCCACTTCCCACCACTTTCCTTTGGGCTTCTGGTAGAGCCTTGTTGGGGAGGCCAAAGTGAGGCTCAGTCAGGCACACAACAGCAAAATGCCATTTCCAAATCATATTGTGACCATGACACAGTCAGCCTCAAATGCTAGGTATGGCACCAGGTGGTTGGTGCATTTGAATCATTCCAACTCCTAATGCTCTTACATAAGGTTGCCGAGGCCATACGTCTTTACCAGAGCACATAGCCTGTCTTTTTCTAATCCTCAACGTTTACCCCAGAGCCTTGATATAATTTTTTTGCTCCTCCCAAAGACCTCGTGGCTCTCTATGAATGTTCAATAAATATCTTTCTTCAGCTGGCTCTGGGCAGCAAGTAACCAGCCACACCCCAGTTGACTGCAACTTCTCATCCTCATAAAACAAACACGATGTTGTACTTAATCCTCTGTCCATACCAACACCTCTAACTTTCATTGCAGGATGTTTTGGAAACTGTCCCTGTCCTTGTTCCTCGTGGCCATGCAGTTGAAGGTCGCCGAAGCCCGGAAGGATCGCCCAGTGGGTGCCATCCCTTCACCTTACAAGGAAGGCAGCAGCAACAACTCAGAGAGATGGCAACACAAGGTCAAAGAGGTGCTGGCCTCCAGCCAGGAGGCTCTGGTGGTCACGGAGAGGAAGTACCTCAAGAGTGACTGGTGCAAGACGCAGCCTCTGCGGCAGGTCATAAGGGAAGAAGGCTGCCGCAGCCGCGCGGTACTCAACCGCTTCTGCTATGGCCAATGCAACTCCTTCTACATCCCCCGGCATGTGAGCAAGGAGGAAGTGTACTTCCAGTCCTGTGCCTTCTGTAAACCCCAGCGAGTCACCTCTGTCTTCGTGGAGCTCGAGTGCCCAGGCCTGGACCCTCCCTTCCGACTTAAAAAGATCCAAAAAGTGAAGCAGTGTCGGTGCATGTCCGTGAACCTGAGCCACTCCAACAAGCAGTGAACTCCTGGATCCCGGGTGCCTAGTTGCCCAGGGGTCCAGCTGCTGCCATCCTGCCCCAACCCTTACAACTCCTAAGCTGTCTGGTGCCCTCCTCAGGGACAAGCACGCCTCTTGGGGCTAACGGTGTCATTGTCACAAGAGTGGACCAGAACTAGAGCTTACTGTTCACCTGACAGACCAGGGGTCCCAACTTGGCCTACCCAAGTGGGCTCTGCATGAAGCATGAAAGAAGAAGGTGGAAAATCTCCAACCCCAGGCGGGGATCAGAGAGGAACTTCAGGGGATGCACTCTCAATCTGGCATGGATGTTTCCACTCTATGGAAACAGGAATGCCTTGGCCTCATCCTGCACTCCAGTTCGCCCCTTCTCCTTTGAAGTGAAGGACCTCACTCTTCTAAGGAGTCCTAAAACCCTGCCATGCTGGACCTAGAGTTTTGGATGGAGGGATTGGTTTTTGTGATTTGAGGGCTACCTTCTCCTGCTGCCATGATGACATGGACCTTGTCCATAAAAATATCTGTCGACAAAAGTCTCTCCTAACAGACCCCATAACAAGAGGACTCCTGGAAGTCATGAAGTGGACATCCCTGGGGACCTTGCTCACAGTGGACCACGACCTCCTAAACTCCAGTCACCATGACCCAAACTTTGTCCCATGTGCTCCCACATCTGTAGATGAAAGATGAACTAGGAGGTGCATCTTATTTTCACTTCAATGTGAATACTATTGCACACAATAGTGTCTGCATGAATGCTGGTTTGTGATTGATTTATTGTAAAGAGCCATTAAATGGTATTATTGACATAACTATGAACCATGCCATGTGTTTTGACCCTGGCTTTGCAATATCTTTCTAAGTAGAACAGAAGAGTTGGTAATCACCTAGTAGGTGTTTTACTCAGAAATATCACCTGGTCAAAAGTTCATTGTCATGCATCTATTCTTAGATTGAGTAGGGAGAAGGGAAGACAAACAATTTTACTTACGTAGAAGAGTACTTCACTGAAGGTACTCAAGCATTACAGAACAGTGTGGTAATTGGGTTGATATAAATGCAATAGGCTTTATCTATCTCATACAGATTCATAGAGTTTATCTGAATCTCAAAAGATTAATGTCTAATATACATATGTGAGGTAAAGAAGGCATTATTTCCACTGCCATGGCACCAAGAAAAGCATATTTTCTGTTAGAAGAAAAAACTTTAAAAATAGAAAGATTTTGGTCATTTTATTGCATAGTAAGGAAAATTGATAAACTTGGAATTGGTTGCACTATTCTTTACAAAACAATTAGCTTCTTCTTGAAAGATTGGATTTTGAGAGAATGATTCAACATCTAGCCCCTTTTTGTTTTCATTATTAATTGTTGAAGTCTCTGTACCATGGTCACTAATTGTAAGGTCACTAACCAGTTTTTTTTTTGAGATGGTATTCTTTCTTTGGATTGCTTGGTTAAATTGACCCAGGGAGGCTTCTCTGGGAGGAACAATCATGGAATCTGTTAAATGTGAATGAGGTGCCCTATGGTGGGAATCAGTATATACAGGAAACTTTCTCCTGACAACTCGCAAGCATGAAATATACTCCTTCCATGGAGTCTCAGGAAGGTCAAGTTCCCTATTATGTGAGAAAGCCCCACTAAGAGCTGCTTTGAAGACAGAAACTTTAAAACACTAACTAGAATGTGACAGTGGGTCTTAGAGACATTTATATGGAGAGACAAGATTGGGTGGTTAGTTAATCCACTTCTTGATCTGGACCTGGGTATACACAGCTTTAAATCAGGAGGTAGCATTCAATGTACATCGTTTAGCACTAGCATCTGGGGGTGAAGTGAGAAGTGAGACAGCATGTCCAAGTTCAAAGCCAGTTTTTGTATTTGGTGGAAAAAACCTCAAGTCATGTTTAGTGGCAGAACAGGCAGCAGAAAAACTGTGAAGGAAGGAATTTCAGGATTGTAAATTCTTGGAATAGGAAGTAAGTGAAGGTGAACCTGTGGATCAACTGAAAAGCCCCCCCTCCCCCCCGATTCTTTTGTTAGCTGCAGAACCCATGCATATAAGCGATTAAGCAATGAACTCACAGTATACAAACATGAGCATACTCTTTTTCAGCCCAATTGTGAGTGTTGAAATATGTTAATGCTGCAGTGTGTAACTGATTTTGGGGATTATTGTATGTGAAAAACTTACCTTATAATAACTAAAATTGTATTTAATAGATTGTTGTTTATAAATGAAGAAAAGTTGTAAGTATGATGTAATTATTTTGTGGGTATACTATTAAATTATAGAAAAAATAAATATACTCTAGGAGCTATGTAATCCTGGTGTGAAGTGTCATACCAGTTGAATTCTGAACTTGTTTCAACTGATACTGACAATGCCCTGTGCATTGAGATGCTTTTGCCCAGTTATGTGAGTTCAACCACTAGCATACGTCTGTGATGCCTGGTATCCTCAGAGAATCAGAAGTAGGTATCCAACAGCAGCGGTGGTAGGATGGCTCTCAGTCTTGAGTGTGCCCAGGCTCCTGGAGTTTCTAAGCCTCTTACAGATCCCACAGCAGATGTAGAGAGAATTATTAGCCAATTCTCCCTGTCCTCTTTGTATAAGAAATAGTGAATGAGGAAGCTTTAGAAAGTGCCTACAAAAAGTTCCTGGTAAATATAGTCTTCTTTTCAGCAGCTCAGAAAACCTCATCATCTTTAGTAACTCATAGTTCACTGATCTCTTCAACAATCCAGAACTTGTCCTGGTTTTAAGCTATTTTCACATTCATTTCCCATAGGTCCAGCACTTCTTAATTTAAATACTTCTTAGTTTCACAATGTTACCAACTTTGACTTATTTTCCTATTAAAAGAATTCAATTACCACTTGAAATTTAACATATTAATGAAGTTACACAGGCTTGATGCACAGCGTGGCCCTCATAAGAATAAAATTCAATTCAAAAATAATTTTATGTTTATTGAATGTGACAAAATATTACACTTTTGGATAAGATATTTCAATTTGCTTGTTTCCAAAGCTGGTAGGTTTTTAAGCTTGTTGGTTTCTAAGTTATGTAGTCAATGAAAAATGTAATTTGCTATTGACTGAACAACTTACAATGTATATTCCTAGAAGCTTATTTGATGATTGATTTATAGGAGATCTTCATTATGAATAAGGTCAAATAAAAAGTGATATAATTAAAACTTGACCATCAGGTTATCTTCAAGATCCTTCATAAACCCTACCCTTCTCATGCTCTCCACTTATTGCCACAGCTGCTGCTCCTTAGGCAGAGAGATCAACTACATTCCCAAAAGGGAAATTAGGACAATCATGTGGTGTATGTATTGTGCTTGTTTGTACCCATTGGCATTTCTGGGTTACTGGCTTTTCTAGCATTCTAGATAGGGATGAAAACTCATTACCATGTCATCTCTCAGGTCCTGGATCTGCTTATGCTTTCATTATATATAATGTCCTGAGTTTTTAGGAGGTAGAATAAAGAAAAGACACAATGCAGATGCTGTCTTCCCTGTGTCTAGAACCAGATATCACTTGAATCTTCGTGATATTTCTCACACACTCCCATCATCTTATCATTCCATTTTCCACAAACTCAAAAAAAATCGTTTTCTTGGCATATAATTCATAAATCACATAATTTAATAGTTTAATCTTATTAGGAAGATTTGTGTAATCTTCACCACAGTCAATTTCAGAGCATCTTATTTCTTGTATTCATTGTTGTTTGTTACCTAATTCTCCCCCAACGCCCCCTGCCACACCTCTTGATAATTATTGATCCAGTTACAGTCTCTGTAGATTTACACATTCTGGATTTCATATACATGAAAATCATACAAAATAAAGACAAGAAACAAATGACAAAAAAGAGAAAAAAACTTTTAGAAAAGAATTCAGTAAATATTAAAAACTAGAACAATGTTAAAATGGCTCAAAAGAGAACTTGAATTTTAAGGTGCTATATTTTAACCTAACTATACCTGCAATACTGGACTTTACAATGCTATCTGTCTAATAGCAAGGCTGTTCACATCCTGAGCTATTGTTTGAGGAGCTTCACCAGAAGCTGAATCTATGTGGGGACCTTGCAAATAGATTTGGCGCTTCCACGGCAAACTGAGTATTCAGAATTTAAGCTCTGGTACCGTTTCCTCCTCTGAATTTGCATCTTATTGTTTACAATTCTTAGATAACAGGCTGATGTGCTTCTTCCATGTGGACTTAGTTGATGCCTCACTTAAATGGCTGCCTGTTTTAAGATAAGCCTTTTAGGCCCCACAAGCTGTTCCCTCTGATAGTCTCAAATCATCAGATTCCTTTACCACATTTTTCTATAGCACCCTTAAACTTATTGATCTCTTCATGATGGAGACTACTGAGTAGAACCATGTCTAGAAAGGGGGAACCGATTACAAGGATCTACATATAACCTCCTCCCTGGGGGATGGACAACAAAAAAGTGGGTGAAGGGAGACATCAGACAGTGTAAGATATGACAAAATAATACTAATTTATAAATTATCAAGGATTCGTGAGGGAAGAGGAGTGTGGAAGGAGGGGGCAAATGAGGAGCTGACATCAAGGGCTTAAGTAGAAAGCAAATGTTTTGAGAATGATGATGGCAAAAAATGTACAAATGTGCTTGACACAATGGATGGATTGTGATAAGATTTGTACAAGCCCCTAATAAAATGATTTTTTAAAAGAATTAGTTGTTCTTAGATTAGGGATATGATTAAGTGTGAGTCACCAATCTATTTATTTATCTATAGTTTATATATGGCTCTGTTCACTTCAGAGACCTTACCTTATAATAGAGAACATTGTAAATCATCCCCATACAGTAATTCCATCAATAGCATCATCATTTTAGTCAATGTTACAGAATTGAAGACATTGTTGAAAAAAAGAAAATTATACATGTATAGGCTGGCTTTTCAGAGTGGAATACATGAATTGTTGTACGGATCTTAA